GTGACTTCCCATTCCACTGCCTACCAGATAAAAACCAAACTCCAAAATTCAAGGTTCTTTATTATGTGGCCTCTCCCTGATTCACAAGTATATACTACATGTATTTTAGGTCAGTTCTAAAACATCATAAAAACAAAAATTTGAGAAAAGCTCACTCATAATCTCCCCTTTGGTTAAAAAAAAAAGTCACTTTTTTCATTTAATAAGCTTCCCCCCTTCAATGCCTTCCCATCTGCAAATAGGTAACAATGAAATTGTATAAATACAGAACTTTTTGTCTTACTCCTGTCATTTGTTTAGGAAACACTTTTTCCTATTTCTGTGTTAACTTGTTTTGTAACAGTTAGATTGACCAGCTATACTGACCAGCACATTGATCAAGGTCTCCACTAGATCCTCTGGCATCTTTGTGTGAAGTGGAAAAAGGCACATCTTCGAGAAGGATTTGCAAAAGCCCCTCCTGCAGGGTACAACCCCCATAAAGACACGTGGACACCCTGATATTAAAACAGGCTCTTTATGAAGGAGAAAAAAATCATCCTGTGCAGGATAACATGGCTTGGAAGTTGGAGTCAGGCCAGCTCACTTCATATCCTACCTCCTATACTCGCTGTTTGATCCCAGGCAAGTTGCTTAACCACTAGAGACCTCAGTTTCTTTGCAGGGATAACAGTCGTCGTACCTCGTAAAACCACTGTGAGCAGTAAATCACCGAAGGCCCTTAGAACAGTGCCTGGCCCACAGTAGACGCTCAATGTTTTCCTCCCCAATAAAAATTATATCAATGTTATCTACATCTCTGTGCCTATTTTTAAGATTTTATTTATTTGACAGAGAGAGAGACAGCGAGAGAAGGAACACAAGCAGGGGGGAGTGGAAGAGGGAGAAGCAGGTTTCCCGCTGAGCGGGGAGCCCGATGCGGGGCTCGATCCCAGGACCCCGGGATCATGACCTGAGCCGAAGGCAGACGCTTAACGACTGAGCCACCCAGGCTCTCCTCTGTGCCTATTTTTAAATTACTTTACAAAATTAGTCCCATGGGGGGAAAATGCTTATCAACAAGCATCTAAATTTGAACTCTTCATCTCTTCATGTAAATTCACTAAAGATAGAGGTGGTCAATAGAATGATGACTATTCAGGAAATGTCATTCCTTTAAGATAATAATCTCAAGAAAAACAATGAAATTTGTTCTGGGGGATCTCAAGAATAAATACTAATAGAAGTTAACATCTTAGAGGAAACGTGGGTGTTGGTTTCCTCACCACACTGGGAAGGGTCAATCGGGGTGACCCTCAAGGCCTACCAGCTTTGGATGTATATGACCCAATCTCGCCATTAAATCACCCTCTACCTCATCACAAAGCTCCTGCTCCAGAAAGGACAGGTTCTTCCCTCTTTCCCAAACATGCCTGACCTTTGATGTAAGCTTTTGCTCATCTCATGCTTCTTCACTTTACTTCCACCAGAAGCACTTTCCTCACCCCGAACGTCAACTCTGGTGCCACTCAAAGTCCCAGTTAAAATCTGACCCCTTCTTACAGGCTCTCAGTGCTCCATGGATTTCTTTAAAAACTCAAAACATTTATTTATTGTCTATGTCACTCCTTAATTGAAGTCTAATGGCATGAAGTAATCATTCTTAAAAATTAAAAAATTACTTTCTCTTATATCTGAATACAACCTTTGTCTTCAAAAACCTAGCATGTACACATGTGCATATACAGCATCATTTATTTTAGCTCGACCTATAGCCACGTTAATAGAAATCTTAACTGAAGGCACACAAGACTCTAAGCTTACAAGACCACACAATTCCGGTCTCTACTGCATCAATATCAACATTTTTACCACTGGCCAAGCTGACAAATTCATGTAATACAGCATTTAATACCTGATATAACTGAAGGTGAATGTCATGTCTTAAAATTTTTACTAATCCATTTTAAATAGTTAAAAAAATAAAGTCTGAATACAAAGAGGAGAGTGTGCGTCAACATTACAATTTTCTTTAAAAACGGTGTTTTTCTTTAATCAAGCCCCATTTATAAAGTGTTTTAAATTTCCTGAAATCTCATTTCCTCTTCCAAGTTTAACTAACACTTTTTACCAAGTGATAGAGGATAAGATAACTCAATCTACATTATCATCTGGAGATTAAGACAAGGAACTAAAAATCTACATTTGAATAAAGACATATTCCCATCAAACAAAGCTACCAGAATAAGCTACAGAACATGAATACCCTTCTACGCTTTCCCAAAAAATCGCAACATGAATACAATACACCTTAGAGGGTCAAATTCTTAAACTGAGGAATCATAATATGATAACAGAGTGCATCGAAGTTTAAAAGGCAGTGGGTTTCATTCCAGTACAGGTGATGGGAAGCCACTGAGATTATCGTATTATAAAATGGGGAGCAGTCGTGATACCCTGCCACCATGCACGACGAGCTCTCGTGGGCGTCATGTTCACCCGTGACTTACGAGATGTTCCGGTTTGAAGCCTCATCATCAGTGTGTAAACTGAAGCTGCTCCAGAGGCAACAGGGAGAGAAGCAGCTCTGGTGGCATTTGAACTGAAGATACTCAGGCAGAGAAACCCATCTGGTGGTGGTGTAAGGAATGAATGGAACCGGAGGAAGAGGAGACAGTAGGATGAGAAAGGACAAAGTAGAGGAGGCGAAGACAATCAGAAAGGAGATGGCAGAATGGAAAAGAAGGACAATGAAAAGAAAGCCAAAAAGTGAAGGAAGTGTGGGGAGCAGAGAAAGAAAGGGGAGAGAAGGAGGAGGAGGAAGAGAAAAAAAATGTAAACAATCTTTGGGTATATGAAAAGCAACATGTACCATATGCCTGTACTTCTGATTGCTGTTTGTTTTTTTAAGTCACAGATGCTATCAAATGACCAAATACAGAATTAGAATCCAGGCACAAATCCATGAACCACAAGAGCTGGAATATCACTGATATACATTGTTTAAAAACAAAAAGTCTAAACTTCAGGTCAATAAGGGGGCATGAAAGTTACTGCCACATTGATTTTCTTCAGTTACCAGAACCCATGAAGGAAGACTCAAAGGAAACCCAAATGTTCCATTCCTCAGCCCGAAACTGTTCAAACACAAGACAGAAGAATGTGATGTTGGTTTCTTAGTTAGTCATCTTCTAGCACATCTGCCAACCAAAAAGGTCAGATAATTGCTGAGTTTCTCAGAAGAGCATTTCCATCATGTCTTTCTTTACACTTTGGGTCTATTTTTCCAATTTGAAATGAATTCTGGCGAGTTCTACCTTGAGCCAACAGTCAAGCAAGTCAGGCTGGACACGGATGTCCCAGTACTATGCCTTCTAGAGTGCAGGACTACAGTTCTCCTCAAATCGAAGATATTCCCATATTTTATTGACTCTTCCACAAATAATGTGCTCTCAATGAACAGTCTTCAATAATTCAAAATTAGGCCTAATGAATTATTAATCAGAAAAATGAATCCTTATTGAGGTGGTAGCCGGCCAATAGGTGATACATTCCAGGTAAGAAATGATAAAAAAGCAAATTAAAATGTGCTTTGTAATTAAATTCCTTACACATAATTATATCTATACTAATGGTAAGAATTTCCATTTCACATACAAAGGTCATTAATGGAATTCTTCACACACGACTGGCCTTTCTTCAACTTCTAAATCAGCCTTGTCCACATGTAAAGTTGATGCAGGCTAGCTAGTTATAGAGCTCTTGGCCTGTTGCAAATACCACAAGACGGACTGAGACACTGCTCTTCATTATTATTAAACCATTCAAAACCCATTAATATTTTTGGCATTTCCAAACATGGAAAATCTGAATGGTTGATTGGAAGCATCATATTCAAATATCAAACCCTTCGGCAAAACTGAACTTCATTATCAAGATATTAACTTTCTATGACCAAAACCCAAGTCAAAGAGACAAGAGGTAATTAAAAGAATAATATGAAAATTCTGCAAGCCACATTTTCACTGATTTACAACTTGATACATGGACCCTACTACCAATGACCCAATACCTATGGGAATCTTCAACACTGACCCGAACATCCACTTGCCAGATCAAGCCTGAAGTGACCTAAATATTTCAAGCTATGAAGAATAAGCAGCAGTGGGGAAGGGGGGCTAATTAATAAAATGTTTATTCAACTATTTATGAACTTGCTCTGGATGTCATCTCTATGTTGACAGGCAGGAGTTCTGATTTACCCACCCATGTATCTTAACTGTAAGTACAGTGCCTGGCAAATTATGGAAGCTCAAAAATATTTTTCAGTGAATGAATGACTGTAGGTATGAGTGAATAAACAATCTCAGTGATATTATACCCATTAGTCGTACAGGCGGTCAGCACCCATCCTTCCTTAGCATGGTGGCATTTCAGCCATGAAAGACTAGAGAAGAAGCCTTAGGAAGAAACAAAAGGTTGACAACTGAGCACACTTAACCAAAGGAACACTGCCTAAAAGCATTTAATTAATAAAAATGATGACTACAGCATTTTGCACCTCTAAGAACACGTCCCACAGAACACATGCCTGAGTTACCACTGGAAGAAGGGAGGGGAGAAGAGAATGAAGAGTCAACAAGGAATCCCTGAGATCCTCAAATCTCAAGAGGTGCTGCCTCTACCCAGAAAACAGAGCCTAAATCACGAAGTCAGTATCTCCCTGGTTTCGAAAACTTGTCTATGGAGTCTGCTGCACTCTATCATTTGGCAGCAGAATTCTCTTTCTGCACCGAATGAAGGGCTGGTGTTTCCCAAAAACTATTTAAACCTGTAGAGTATTGCCCAAGAGATGATCCCATGAACTCCCGAAGAAACTTTCCATTTGCATCGTTGCAGATATAAGTGCTGTGTGGAAAGATACAGCACTGCGTAGCCCAGGATCATCAACAGAAGCGAGGCACTCTGCGATCCCAGTGTTGCCTACCGAACGCGCCTCCCTCCTGGTTCCCGGAACTCACCGCAGCGCAGAATGTCTTCCTGAGCGGGACACACTGTTGCCCACGGGGGAGGGCAGGTTGCTCCCTCTGTGCAGATCCTCGATGGACCTACTCCAGGGCTTTGATTTGTCCACTGAGCTCTCCACAGTGCTTTCCACGCTTTCGAAATCAAAACTAAAACAAAAGAGAAATGCCACTGAAGACTTAAAAAGTGGACAGTCACACAAATACATGGATGTGCGTAACTGGCTCCTTCCTATGATGCATCCGTGCCCAATAATGGGCAGTCCTTGCAAACAAAGAAAACCGAAAAAGCAACGCAAAAAGAAATTCCACGGACTCAGAGTTAGCTTCGAAAATCCAAAATGACAAATACTGGGCAAGGCAAAAGAAGAGTCGAACTACAAGGAAAAAATAAATAGTACTGTATTATTTGTATTTTACTACAAGGCTTACTAACTTACCAATGGCTAACACTGCTATGGTGAAAGGGGAAGGAAAGATCTTACAGCTGTCTTCATTTTGCTTTAACAAGTCAATATGTAGGCTTATACTAATTTATTCCTACCCATCAATTTTCACTGAGCATTTTCTCCTAGTGTGTTGGCAAGTGTACTTTTCCAACCATATGTGATACATTACTTGCAAAGTTATGGATTTGCTTTGATTTTGGAATCTCTTCCCAGTGTGGTGCTCTTTAAAGGAGGACTGGTGTTTCTCTGACATTTTTTGAGGTTATTACTCATGTTGACCATGTTAGAATAAATGGTAAGTTAAGTTGCTCATTCTTGTATAATTTTAGGGACAAAATTTTTAAATAGCCAGGCCTTTGTGTTCTGTGCATTTTCCCCTCCCAAAGACAGGAGCTCTGCCTTCTAAAAAAAAAAATATATATATATATATATATAATCAATTGTTTCTACCTCTAGTTCCACCCAGCAACACCTGATCAGACAGAGAATAAACAGAAGGCAGCTATAATTAATACCAGATGGAAAATCTGGGCAGCTATCTCAGAAGAGACAGTAACAATACATATTGGCAATAACAAGAATGACTCTTTATAAGGGTACCATCGCCAAAATAAAATATTTTGCTAGAACCGTCATCTGTAAACTAGGCGATGCTGTCCCTCTATTAAATACTAATCCAGGCGGCAGCCACTAAGGATCATCAGTGAATGCATCTGGCAATTTTGTCATGCCTTTGGATGCAGGAAGCAGAGCTGAATAGGAAAGAGGTGGGATTGAGTAATCAAATCCTTAAACACTAAAAATAGAAGACTACAACCGATAATCAGAGAAGGTAAGCCGAGGGGGCACCCCAAGATCACCCATGTCATCAACATTCTCGCCAAGTCACTCTGCAGCCCCCCACGTCGTTCGGCTATCCCACAGGCTTATGCTCCTCTCAGGTCGCCCACCCCATGGAGCAGAAGGAAACGCACACCTTGGTGAAGCATCCTGTTTTAGGAACAGAGCATGAGCCTGTTGGTGCACATTACCTGGGCTAGGACAGTAAGAAATTTTTCAGCCCGTTAGTTTCAAGAAAGAACATAAATTATGTCTCTATATATAATTTGCTAAATTAAACAACACAAAACCAAAACTAATAAGCAGAGAATACAAAGGTAATGCCAAAAAAAAAAAAAAAGTAGAGAAGGAAACCAAAGCTCTGAGTTCTGATCCTCTGGGTTTGATCTTACACCACACCTAGAATTCCCTCATGGTAGCACTGCCCTTTCCCATTGGTCTGAGGTGAGGGGACGTCTGGGAAAACTGGGTGCACAAGCTCTACTGTGATGTAGGTAAAAGGTTAATTACAGCCGACATGTAATACATAGCATGCCATCCTTTTCCATTACAAATGAAGTCTCTTAGCTCTTCCTTAATTCCATAACTTTTCCTCCAGATTTTAAACTATGCAGCAGGGTAATATTATCGTGTTTTGGCATATAATTTGAAGTGTGAGAGAGGTTAGCAGTTTTTGACACAACGGACATAGATAAGAAACAACCTTTGGAAGAATATGCTATAAAAACTAGGACTGTATTTCAGAGAACAATTTCTTAGAAAGATAAGAACTTGTCTATCGGTGTTTCTTACTCTATTCCATATCATATACAGGAGATCTCAAACCTGAAACTGATCCAGTCAGTTTCAGTTTATACTGTAATTTTTGCATCCACTGAAAAGGAGTAATTACAGCTTCCTCCTCATGAATTCTCAAGGAAGTGCTGAGGATTATAACATCTGGTTAAGTCTTAGAACTTCTTTGGAGTGATGCAATATGAAAAACAAGTTACTGCTTTTAAAAGAAGCATTGAGGGGAGAAAAAACACCACCTGGGCCCAAATGTCTTCCGGTCAAATTAAAAATACAGTATTACTTTCTCAATCTGTGTGTGTGTGTGTGTGTGTGTGTGTGTGAGAGAGAGAGAGACAGAGAGAAAGAGAGAAAGAGAGAAAGAGAGAGAGAATCTGTGGATACTGCAATATTCTTTGACTAAAGAAGGAAATTTCTGTTGTAAAGCATTCCAGAAGCCTAGCAAATGGGAAAATTTTATGAATTAACAAAAAACAAGGTTAAGTAAATTGATTTTCTTTCCTGCTCTGCTGCAATTTTTCCCCTTCACCTTACGAAGGGGAAGTCAAAACAATACAAATACATATAAAGTAGAAAAAGGAAAGCCTCTTGTTTACTCTTTCTTCCAATCCCACTTGATTTGGTTTATCTGCAATCATTTTCTCTGCATTTACTAGCACATACAAATATACACATACATATACATATATATAATTTTTTTTTAACAAAAAAAGTTCTTTTCTGTGTCTTGCTTTATTCACTCAAAAATATAGCATACACCTCTTTCAATGACTGCCAGGGTATTCTACCATATGGATATATGTAACCTGAGCACTAAAGCACTTTTTAAAATAAGGACTCTAAGGGTGATTTTTACTCCCCTGTTTTATTTCTGCCTTAAAAACATTTCTAATAATGATTATATGATTTGCTTTTAGTTACTTGAGTAGAAACAAGCCTCCTTAAACCTTACCACATCTGCTTCTGGGTTTCCCCCCTCAGTGCTGTATGTAATTTTGCCACTCACTTCCATCTTCTATGACCACATGAAATTCAAAAGCCAACAAGCCAAGTTTTACTTACGTGACCGCGTACTGCGCAAATGATAGATATTCCACTAGAACATCAAGACCTCTGTTTTCTTCGTTCAGAAACTCTCTGACCCATCTGTTAAAAAACAAACACCATTATTACAGAGGTTCATCACACACTCTGCCATGAGAGAGCCCAGTGAACACTGTTAACTGTTCTGCCAGAAACATTCACCAAAAGGAGTAATGGAGGAAGGCCCAGACTCCATCACACCTAGTAGAAACTTTTCCATAGAGCAACTAAAAAACCACAGCATTTTGGGGCACCTGGGTGGTGTAGTCGGTTAAGCGTCTGACTCTTGGTTTCAGCTCAGGTCATGATCTCAGGGTCCTGGAATGGAGCCCCAGGACAGGCTCTGCGCTCAGCGGGGAGTCTGCTCCAAGACTCTCTCTCCCTCTGTTCCCTCCACTCCCCACACACTCTCTCCCTAAAATAAATAAATCTTTCAAAAAAAACCACAATTTCAACATGCAAGAAGAAGGGGCAAAAGGTATACATGTGTTTCCCTTGCATTTTACTACTTAGGAGACTTAAGATAACGTGTAAGAAGTATTCTAAAAAAGGAACTTGCTAAATGTACATTTTCCACCACAACTGACCCACAGCCTGTTAAAGGAGCCAAGACTGCATAGGGAATGCGGCAGGCCCGGGACGTGACGATATACACAGTGAAATCCAGGCGTGATTCCAAATCCACATTCAACTCCTTCTTGGCACACTAAGCCATAGAAAACACTCAACTAGCCAATGAGAAACCAGTGTTTAGGGGCTCCTGGAAATTCAATAGGGATAATGCTTTGCTTAATTTTTTCCATGAATGTTAAAACCTCTTAAAAACTTGCAGGCACCACATAACATTGGCAAAGCCAAGACATGACATATCATGTTTTTTTTTTTTTTAATTCATTTTAAATAGTATCACCTTGCCTATGAATGGTGGGTTTGAATGCAGTTCACTGAGAATTTTTACTGGTTTTCATTCGCACTTCATAATAGTGGTCAAACCGAACCTTCAGGTATTGAAGATAAACACCTGTTAGCCCCCATTACAGATTTCCTCCAGGGCATTCCTCTTCAAAGAATGTATGATACCTGATTAAACCTTCTCTAGGTTTGAAAACTTCAATAAATAATAAGTCAAAAGGTCTGCTACCATCACAGAAATGGAATTTGAGGTACATCCACCAAATGCATTCCAAAACTGATTGCTTTCCTCGGTAAGCACCAAGGGGGGGGAAAAAATAGGCTGATAGTTACTGTGGAAGCCGGTTTTGTAAACTATTAGAACACAATCGAATTTTAACTTTAAGGCTGAGCAACCACTCAAAATCTTTGTCTTAAAGGAAGAAAAAAATCTGGTGGACTCAGGATGCCTGTTTTAAAATTCTTTTGGGGGCTCTTTCTCCTTTGTTTTTGTTTGTTCGTTTGTTTTACCCGCAAGCTCATTCTTTCTTGTAGTTCTATCATCTCCATGATGCAAACTCAGGCTTGCAGGTAATCCCAGGGGCAGCAAAGCAGGAAAAGCAGACAGCTTATCTCTTTATTTTCCCCCACGTGCCTCAGGCAGGCTATCACAAAATGTAGGCACCCAACACAGCCACAGGAAAGCAAATAACTTTTAATTTAAAAAAGACCTAGAGTGGCAAGTGAAAGAACCACCTGTCGGGCCTCTCAAGAGCTGGTCACTGGTCCCACTGAAACTTCCCTTCCAGACCACCACATACACCAGCTCCCGGCATCTGCCCCGGGATACTTTCAGCTGATTAATTTTAATTATTCTCCCTATACCACTAGATCTCAGGAGGCATGGGACATTTTTAAGTACTAATAACTAGAAGCCTAGAAAGAGTAAAATGAATCAATGAATGAATGAATGAATGTTCTTTTTATAACTGGTAGGAGACTAAAGAAAGGCTGGCACTCACTATGAAAACTCATGGACTAGCTGCTCTTGAAACTCAAGCCTCTTACGGCTTCTCTAAGGCTTCTCCGTGGGTCTGGCCCGTGGGCTCTGGCCGCACCACTGAAAGTGGCCCTCAGCTCAGTGGCAGGTGTGCAGCAGGCCTCCCTGGGGCTGGGCATGGAGGTATTCATTTTAGAATGCAAAGACACCCTCCGCTCCAGAGTCTTCAGAGCCATCTCAGTTCTACGTTTTCTATCCCAGTGGCTCATAAAAACACTCCTGTAGGAGCTGAGAACCACCACCACTGTAATGCCTTCGGTTGACTTCCCAGACACACAGCCTCTAAACACTAGAGATGTCCGGGACACCCCATGGACCTGCCATTTAACCACCAGCGCCTCCAACTCAGGGAGTTTAACCACAAAGTAGATAGGAGGCAAATGACTCACAGATAAGAAAATCAAAAAAAAAAAAAAAAAGGAAGGGGGGCAGGAAGAGCCAAGTACATCCAGAGCCACAACTGTCTTGACTCCAAATGCTAATGTGCATATATTTTGATTCAGGGATAAAGACCATCATTAGCGTCTCTTTCTTCAGCTCAGTGCCCTCATAGGCTCCTCCACCCTCACTTGCTGACTGAGCGTAAGTGCCTTAAACACAACTTTCAAAGGGCAGGAACAAGCCACACGGTCCCTAACAAGGCGGCTGGAGTGTGACATGTCCTGCCTCTGAGAAGTTTGATTTCACACAGCTAACCCTCTTTTTCTAAGCCCCGAGATGCTCCCTGGGTCTTTGATCTGGCCCAGACACCCCTAGGTGATCTAGGAAAGAGTAAGATAAAAACCCACCATGGTTGACCACCTTATCCCCTCTGTCAAATGATACCAGGTTAGCATAGTCATTGCAGCAAAAAGTCTATGGGTTTACAGGGAAAACAAAGCCTTCACATTTCCCCCCGTCCCCTCAATCCCTGTCCCCGCCACACTTGGGATATTCTGTGTGGGAGAGAACAGAGGTGAGAGTCAACTTCCAGGGAAAGGAAACCAATATAGACAGAAAATGGGTGAAGATGAAAAATGGGCAACTTTCAAAGCTGTATCTTTAAAAGCATTTAAAAAAATGGATGTCCCATTATGCAGATTTATGCAGGTGATCATGCAATGACATATCATAAATTTAGGGTTCCTCTAGTAACTTATTTCCATTTTTCACTTCTGTGCATGCTACACACACTTTTTTACATATTGCCAATACGCACACCATTCCAAATTGGATGCTGATAGGTTTTGGGAACTAGAATTATTTCTGATTCCAACAGCACGCATCACTTACTGAGTACCCCCACAGATTCAGGGTAATTACCATATGTTGTAAATTTGAATTAGGCAAATTCCAAATCAGCTGCTCAGGAGCTGGAAGAAACCATGATAATGAAAAATAGCTCTGGAAAAAAAATCTTGTTCAAGGAAGGGATCTAAGTGCAGACGCAAAAGGCACTGTTTTATTGTCGACAGGTCAAAGCTGTTTCAGAGCTGCTGGCTTCTCTCTCCCCCCACCCACCGCCAATTTAGAATCTCACTGTTCTGATCTAGAAAATGAAGTCTCAAGGGACCTTTCTGGCTCCAAATTTCTAAGATCAAACAAAGCAGACCCAAGATCACAAGATAAAGGAACAAGGGGTGAACTCCCTTTCTCTGTCTCCTTAGAGAGGTGCTTCTAACACAGGGTGGAAACCGCAGTTGCTGAAAAATCACGAAAAGAAAATCTCAAGAAGCAAGAGAAAGAAGGTAAGCATCCCCCAGATTCAGCATAAACTACCAAATCTATTCTGCAAGACAGCATCACAAGATGGTTCTCAGTGCAGCTCACACATCAGCAGGGGGCCCTGAGACCCTCTGAGGGGTTTGTGAAGTTACAACGATTTTCATAAAAATATTAAGATAGTAGTGGCTTTTCACAGTGCTGGAACCTGCACGGATAGTACAAAAGGAATGGTGGATAAAACTGCAGCTGACGAAAACTACACCTCTTTATTGTGTTCTCACCCCAAGCACTTGCAAGGCAAACAAAAAGTCAGCTTCACTAGAAACGGTCCTTAATGAAGCAATGAAAATTATGGATTTTTATTAACGCCTGTCCCTTGAGTTTACATCTTTTAAATTTTCTATGTGACAAAATGGAAAGCCCAAATAAAGCACTTCTGCTGCCTACCCTAGTACCACAGTTGTCTCCAGGAAAAGCACCTGTGCAGTTGTTTGAGTCACAGACTGAACGAGTTTTTTGGTTTTTTGGGTTTTTTTTTTTGGTTTGTGTGTTTTTCGGGTTATTTTTTTTTTTACATATGAAATGGAAAATGACTAACAACTGTGGTTATTCTGTTTGGTGTTTGGCAGACATTTTCTCAAAAGTGAATGAAGTGAGCCTGTTGTTTCAAGGAAAACAACCGACAGTATTTGTTGTCCATGATAAAATTTGAGGTTTCTACCAAAAAAAATGAAAATTTTGGAACACTTGCTTTGACCACCACAAGCTTGACAACTTCCCAATACTTAAAGGATATTCAGATGAGACTGGTAATTATTAATGAATGCAACTGTTTTTATATTGTAGAATAAAATGTCTCAATTCTTGAAAGATCAGAATAATTCAGTGAAACAATATTTTCCAAATGACCAATTCATGATGTGACCCAAAATCACGCCTGGGTAGAAAGACCTATTCAATTTTCAAAACGGCACGGTGAGTTTTAGTTTAACAAAGTACAAAAACTCATTGATACCGTTTCAGATTCTACATTGCAAGTAACTCTAAGAAATTACCGCTCCTTGAAGGATGGTGTACTATCAAAGAAGAATATCCACAACAATCTGAAAAGGTTATTTAAAAACTACTTTTTTCAAGTGATGTATGTATGTAAGGCCAGGTTTTCTTCATATACATCTTCACATACATATACAACATATTACAACAAATCAAATGCAGACAAAGAAATCAGAATCCATCTGCCTTCTATTAACCAGACATTAAAGAGATTTGTAAAAATGCCCCCCTTGTCACTAATTTTCCTTCTTGCTTTGGAAAATATTTTTCACAAAATATGTTGTCTGTGCTATGTTTATTATTTTGTATTTATATATTTACATTATTTACTTTAAAATAAATACCAAAATTTATTGAATAAGGAAAGTTAACATCTATCAGTTTAAATTTCCAATATGGTAAACATTAAGAGAAAAAAACCCACATAAACAAAAGCATATTAGGGTTCAAAATAATTTAAGAGAGTAAAGGAGTCCTGAAATCAAAAAAAATTAGTAACTCACAGTTGAGATAACACCTGAACAATCTCAGTGCTTCTCAGTTATGTGGACTGGAGCGAGATAATTAATAGGTGACTCAGTTTCCTCATCTATAAAACATGGGCTCAGAGGTAAAGGCCAATCATAAAAAGATTTTTGTAAGAAATAACACACTGAACATGTTTAGTAAATGATAAGATTGTAATCTTGAGGATTTCTAAGAATCAACATCTAGGAATGAATTAATCATAGGGTAGCTTGGTACACACATACCCCAAACACGTTGTATACCTGTTAAAACCAGCCTTACTCTTCTGTCTCTTATTTTTTGGCCTGGCACAGCACCAGGTCACCGAGATACCGGGAAATGCAGGAGGGAAGACAGACCTTCACTGAGAGTTTCCAGGCTCCTTCCCCTTTGTACAAACCTTGTCCCTGCCAACTGGCACATTCCTCCCACAACCTCAGGCCCATTCTCTCAGCTCCAGTGAGATAAAGTGAAATGAACATCTTTCAGAACTTCTATGTTCTCACAGTCAGGATGAAAAGCAATTTCCTATCATAATGGAGAGTTTTATTAAAATAAAGTACCTGGAAGGAGAGAGAAACTATACCTCAGTGCCATGGAATAAAGCCCATAAACCTATCCAGCTCACCACCATCACCACCCCTTGAATCTTATCAGCCTGACATACAAAATATCACGACATCGGCCCACTCACACCGCACAGCCAATGTGTTCTCACAGGGCTTGGCTCCTTTCAAGTCCCTTCAAGGGCTTGGATTAGTCATAATCTAATTCTTCTCTTTTATTATAGTTCCTAAGAGTAAGTGAGTAAGAGTTTTTCTAGTCCAATTCTTATTTCAATTTGGCTCAAAGAAAATTAATTTTCTTTCTCAGAAGACTGCTCCATTTACAGAGTTTTAGGCTTATATCAATACTCAGAACAAACTCTCTGCTTGACAAAGCTGTAGCTTGGAATGTTATGCTCAGCAAAGCCCCAGACTTTAAGCTTAAAACACAAGCGTGTGCCAATAACAACTTCTTCAGGACAAGTAGATATTTAAATGTAATTCTTCCTCTTAATTTCTGGGAATCACAATCTCCTAGGTGTCAGGGTCATTTCAGACAGAGAAAGTAACAATCTCTGTATGGAATTCCTTAGAGATACATACTATTGAATTATTATTATTTTCAACAAGCCTAACAATAGTTATCGTATTTTGAGTAATTACTATGTATTAGACCCTATATTAGGTCTTTTATAAATTATCTCATTTAACCTTGCAACATTCCTATTGGCAAATATTATTATCCTCATTTTATAGATGAGAACTTAACTTAGGTCACATGGTAAATAAATACAAAGAATTTATGCACTTTATCTAAGTAATTTATTTAATAACTAATCAAGGGCATGGCAAAAATCTGAACCACAATCTCTCTTTCCATAAAATAAATGGGCACCCAATTACCATTCTATTATGGTACCTCAAGAAAGTACAACAAAATCTATGAATCTCTTAGATAGCCCACTGCATTCCAAGAATTCCTCACTGTAGTAATTGATTATTTTCACACTACTGAGTAATTCAGAAGATTTCCCAATCAAACGAGGTCAAGCGTGTTAGTTTCCATCGGAGTTAGAGTCCAGTGCAGGCTTGCTTAGGTTTTCAGGACAGTCGAGATAGGTCAAAACCCTGGTGCGTGGTTTCCTTCCATATAAGGCCATGCTAATAAATGCTTGCATACAACCAGACAATGCACCTCCATGAATGTTTCTGCTGCTAAAGCCAAAGCTTGCAGAAAGTCTTGCACATAGGTGGTAGACAAAGGGAAACTTCAGATGCTAAAGATGAAAGAAATGTGAGAATCGTTCAACATGCCTATAGCATCCGAAACAGCACACCACTCCGATTGCTTACAGATTTGCACTGGCTCCCTCCCAACCAGGGCTCTTCTATTCAGCCAACTCTGTATTGGAAATGACTGTCTTGCTTTGGTATGTGATGGTCAATTTCATGTTATTTCAGCAATGCTTGAAGAAATTCTCCTCGACAATTCGTAGAAACCCTGGCTGCAGCTCATTCCACCATCGTAAGAAGTGCCAACAACATGGGTTTGGGCCTTACCAAACGGAATCTAGTTCCTGATCCCCAAATATTGGAAAGTATTTGAATTTCCCAAGCTTGGATGCCCAACTATATTAAATCACCACCATTTTCACCCCCAAAAGACAGGCCTCATTGCTCTGATCCCAGAGCCCTGACTACCTTACTTCCTTTCCAGGGAAGAACTGCCAGATTTAACTACATAAGAAAAAGAACACAGCATTTTGAACCCCAGCACCTGGGCTGTACAGCGTGGACTTCACAGGAGCCACTCACCTTCTCTGGTCCTGAATGCTTTTCATCTGTAAAAGGAGGAACTGGGGAATCCTTAATTTCTCTTCCAGTTCTAAAATCATGTTCTAAAATCATGATTCTATGATCTACTGTTTGACAGCCCATTTTCTCAAAGTGATTATCAACTACAGAAATCACTTATTTTCCAAATACTTCATTCTCAAGGGGACATTATGTGCAAAGTTATCCTTTAGGAAATGAACATTCTCACCCAAGCTTCATCACATATCAATCAGCCTTGCATATCCACAATTTAAAAAAGCTTATTCTGAAATAACTGTGCAAATTAACCATTTTATTGGCTTATACCTAACACACTCTGAAGTGGAAGTAAACTATTATTTATGTAGTATATTTATTTTACAGAATAATCTTTAAAACTATACTGTAACATACAAAACTTCATTTCCAATAGACCTGCAAAGAGTGTCACAGGAGAAAGTTCTGAAGGATCTAAAATCTACAGTCTTCCCACTGTTAAATTCAAAGAAAGTGCAGAGAGGCTAAATCATTTGCTCGATGTTCAATAGGTACTTTAGGAAGAACTAAAGCTATAAAATAGGAGATCTGGTATCCTTCTGCCATGGAGATAAACCATGTTATTCTAAGGTACTGTACAATTATGCTCTTCTAGGAATAAGGGAGAATGTAATAAAGTTGTGTTTGCTAGAGGCAAGCCATATGAAAAACTCTTAGAAATGCTTAGCGCTGAGATCCCCCAAACTTTACTTTCTGGAGTGGATTTACACTCCCGGTCCTAAAAATTGGGGGATGCAGGACAAAGAGACTCAGAACAACTAAGTGCAATGAGGGGTTGAGCTCGGAGAACTCCAGTGACGGCTAAGAGATCCTCCAGTATCTCAGAGTTCATTACTTGTTGGGAGTTCCTGATGTGCCAGGAATGGTTACGCACCCAAGAGACCAAGCACTATCACTGCATCCAAGCAAAGAATTTTAGGATTGTTATAACAGCCCAAATCAAAGACTGTTCTGCTTCTACTGATAATTGTACAGTGAGCAATTCAAGTACCAACAAATGTTCCACCCATCTAAACCTCAGTCTCTTAACTTTTAATGATCAGCAAGGAAGCTTAATTCTTTGGATATGATTCAGTCACTTTGTAAAGTGTCCAAAAGCCTTAAAGCTAAAATGTTAAATAGGCACACTTACCCAATATGGTTGGTTCTTAAAGAAATTTCCAGTTCTCTTAGTACTTGTGTGGATTCCTGAACACGCCGTCTGAATTTCTAGAATTCAAGAACACATATTCTCACAAAACATATTTTATCAACTGCTGTAAGTGCCATTTGTAATGTTTACCCCAATATGAAAATATCTCTGCTTTTAAAGTGGGCTTCTCTCTAAGTGAAATAAGCCAATCAGAGAAAGACAATTTTCATATGATCTCGCGGATATGTGGAATTTAAGAAACAAAACAGAGGATCATAGGAGAAGAGAGGAAAAAATAAAACAAGACAGAATCAGAGAGGGAGACAAACCATAAGAGACTCTTAATCATAGGAAACAAACTGAAGGTTGCTGGAGGGGAGGGGATGGAGGAATGTGGTAACTGGGTGATGGACATTAAGGAGGGCATATGATATAATGAACACTGGGTGTTACAGAAGACTGATGAATCACTGACCTCTACCTCTGAAACCAACAATACGTTATACGTTAATTAACTGAATTTAAATTAAAAATGTTAAAATAAATAAATAAATAAATAAATAAATAAATAAATAAAGTGGGCTTCTCTCACCTTTCTTTTTGCAAAGGACACAAATTGTTCTTATCATGAAAATCAGCTTCTAAGAAAGGACTGGGAAAAATTTATTTCATGTACTAGGTGTCTTTGAGTAAGCAGACTATTTCTCCCTGCCCTACAACAATATTCACCAATATGCCTAAGTGTTTGGGTCCCTAAGACTCCCCCGGTCCCAGTTTCAATGATTTGCTAAGACTTCTTCCTAGGACTTGGCATATAGTTGTTGTTATGGCTAAGATTTATTACAGCAAAGATATACAAGGCACAATCAACAAAGGCAAAGGTGCATGGGGTGAAGTCCAGAAGAAACCAGATACAAGCTTGCAATAGTCTCCTTTCTTAGAAGCTGATTTTCACGGTAAGAACAATTTGTGTCCTTTGCAAGAGGAATCACAATGATAGTATCTGTGAAATGCTGTCCACCGCGGAAGCTCATTAGAGACTCAGTGCCCTGGGTTTTTACTGGGGACTGGTCATTCTGGCATTCTCTGCCTAGCACACACCAAAAGTCCAGACTGCCTGCAAGCAAAAAGGCATTCAGCACACACCATATTGTTGGCACAGTGAATCATTCTTATCAGGGAAAGGTATGAACTCTCCTGAAATGCAAGTTCTCAGTTGCCAACAAAGAGCCACCCTGGCAAGCTGGCCTTTCTAAGGTAGCCATCTCAGGACTGCTATGTTAATTATTTTCTGCAGAACCATGTTAACATTTCCCAAAAATAAGCATTCAGAGTTACCTCTGCCCATGAGCCTTTATTTGGAAGGTCCCTCCTACTTTCAGAATGCCCTTCCTCATTCCCTGGCCCATCAAAATCCCACCAATCCTTCCAGAACTCCCTCAGGCCTTTCTTTCTTCAACGAATCCCCCTCTGGCAGTAAATGTATGCTTCTCTATCCTCTCAACTCTAAATGACCCCCACGTATCACTGGGTCATGATGCACATCAGTTCTCAGGAACACAATTTCTTCCAGAAACATTTATTTATAGTAACTGAAGTTTTAGGCCACTCTGGAAGTGGGACATTTGATGGGCCATGCCTTCTAAGAAGAGTTCTACGCTCTCTGTGCTACAAAATCAAACCACCTGCATTTTACACGGTCTCCAAGAAAAGGCTGTGAGAATTCCAGCTCAGGATATTAGGGACCCTTCTCCTCTGCTGCCCCAATTGCAGTGGAAATGGAGTCATCCAGGTCCAAAGGTGAAGGCATCCAAGGACAGGAAGGAATGGAGGAAGGCGGGAAAAGCAGGATGTGGGGTGTGGAGAGCCAGGAGGCCCTGGTGTCCCAGTGAAGACTGGAACCCTGCTCAGCATGGGCGGGCTCCTGTCATCCTCTTCTCCTCTCCACCCCCAACAAACTGCCCCTTACCAAGGCCCCAGGGAAGCCAACAGAGTCCCACAGTTTCCCCCGGGTTGCCATTCTTAAGGAACTCCAAAGACTTTCTTGGTTGCTAGAATCCAGGTAGTCAGATATGTGAAATTAAAGCATCCCCAATGCAAGGAAAAAAGAGCCACTCCCCTCTTTTGTCAAGAAAGGCGGGGGGTGGGAGGATGGGTTAGCCTGGTAATGGGTATTAAAGAGGGCGCGTTCTGCATGGAGCACTGGGTGTTATACGCAAATAATGAATCGTGGAACACTACATCAAAAACTAATGATGTAACGTATGGTGATTAAATAATAATAAAAAATAAATTAAAAAAAAAAAGAAAGAAAGTCTTAAGAAATGACAGAAGAGTCGTGTATCCTTTGGAGGGACATCTGAGCCCAGTGTCTCCCGAAGAGCTTTCCAGCAATGAGGACTACTGATGAAGCAGAGTCTCTGCCACACAACTGCTCCTGGGAGGCCATTCCCATGTCGGAGTCACCAGTCTCGGACTGCCTGCCACCGTGAGCTTTAGAAAGCAGCTCAGTGTTCCCAGCTACACCTCATACACAGTTCTGACTGGCTCCCAGTGGCCTTCGCGGGTCCTTAGGGGAAGGTCATCACGAGCCACAAAAGCACCCAGCACAGCACTGAAGGACACAACACGGTACAAAAGAGGATCTGCTGAAGGACTAAGAGGCATGTATCAAAACAGAGGACCTCGATCAAAACACTAGGAGATACCAGGAATGACACCAGGAGCAGAGAACATTTCTTGGCAGTCACTACACTTTTGCAGCTGCGAGGTAACAGATAAAAAACCACACTGACTCTGCCCCTGTATGATGTTCTCTCAGGAACTGTGCAATCTCCAGCAGGACTCGGGGCTATGGAGAAGCCTTGGCATCCACCTCGCTAACACATAAACAATGATTGCTAATGCTCTGCACTTCGGCAACGTATTTGGCATGCTTAAAAACCCTGCAAAGACAAATCACGTGCCTGTGGGGAGCCGCGACAAGAAGCAGGTACCATCAGTGAGCCGTGAGCACCATTCCCTGGGCCCCGTCCCATAAAAGGCAGGCCCAGGGATGAGCCCCCCCAAAGATCCACGCAATAGGTTTCATTTCACAACCGCACTGCCTGCAGAGAACCCCCTCCTTTCTTCACGGTCTGTATGTAGCCTTTTTCCTGGGCACATCCCCCCAGATCACAGACGAGCACCGCCTGGTATGCAATGAAGAGACTGCTTTGGAGAGTCCTGCTCACAGAGATATCTAATTTAGGCTCTTCCGTGCCTGCCCTCCAGGGGTTCAGATCTAAAACTATTTAGAAGAAAATCTAAATAGAATACACTTATGAAATTTTTTTTAGAAGACAGCAAATTAAATATCATTTATTCGATGTGTATAAAAGATAAATGAGTGAAAAGTATTCGAGGACTCCAGACACAGTGAAGGGAAGACGACTCAGCCTAGACCGGCTAAAATTGAAAGCCTGGATTTGAAATCTTCCCTCTTCCCTGCCGCGGTATAACTGAGAATCTGAAACTCATTCTAATTGCAAGCGCTGCCTTACTCCAAGCAAAATTTCCTTTCTCTAGGCTTCAGTCGAACAGATCATTTCCTATTGCCAGTGGTTGCTCCAACATCCATTTTTTTTTTTTTTCTTCTCGACTGAATGACTGACTTGAAAAGCAAGGCACGGACCGAACGAGGCCACTCAGATGAACACACGCAGTCTGGGGCTGAGAGTTCACAAGTGAAGGTCAGCCCAAACAGATATCCTTGTCTTCGTCCTTTATTAAGTTATTTGCAATGGAGCAAAACTAAGCAGCTTATTTCTTTTACATCCTTTGCTTCACTGAGGAATAATTGTTCCAGAAGAGAACCGGAACTGTGCCAGGACAAAGCCTCCTGTTCCGTCCAAGCATCTCCTCCTTACCACACTCAGGGACGGCCTCTGAGAAGCCTTCTCGGGGAGTTCCCTTACTCTCTCCTTTCTCCTAAGAGTCTGATGAATAGGGAGAGAACTGTGTGAGGAACACTCAGTCTGGGCACAAACACCAGCGCTTCGGCAACACTCAGCTGCAGACGAGTGTCCAAGGCCGGGGTCCAAGCGGTCCAGCCCGAGGGTTTCAAGTTGAGGGGATTTCTGAAAATATTTCTCAAGTAGAATCTTGCTGCTCCTTTAAAAAGAAACAGCCCCCAAAACCTCCTGGTTTGTCCTGGGTTGTGTTTGGGGGGGGGGGAGGGTCTTCATTTAACCCTCTGTAATCTGATGAAATTGAAGGCTGCCCTATCCTTGGGGAAGGAGACAAGAAAGAGGTAAGAATTGGGCAGCTGTCTCATTTAGGGGGCCGAACAGAAGCTCTTTAAAGAAAAGAAACACATGTGAGCCATATTTGTGAGGGGGCTATCATGATACTTCGACAGGTACATTCTTAGAAGAGGCTGCACCACAGTCAGGTCACATGTGTGTAGCCGACGGCCAAGTCTACAGCGCACTGTCACCATCATCCCAGATGGTATTTCTTCTGCCTGTCTCGTGTTAGGCATAGGACAAAAGGCCAAGAAACTTCCAAAAGGAAGGAACAGCTGTTCTCATTTGCTTGCCTTTTTTTTGGATAGGGGGCAGTGAGCCGGGGGTGGGGGCGTGGAGGAATATTTAGAGTAGAAGTAGAAGATAAAGATTTTTTTAAAAATTTACAAGAGCCCTGGAGACAGTGGGAAACTAGGAAAAGTGCGTCTTTCTTCTCTCATGAGTCACACCCTAAAACAACAGGGGGAATTCAGCTCCAGTTATTTTTGCTGCAGCCTTGAAAGCAGGAGTTGTGGAAGGTCAACCCCAAAACAAGTGCTCTCTGGTGAAGAGCGCCCATCCCCATCCTGAGCAAGGACAGCGCGGCGCTGAGACATCCCAGGACCGATCCCGGCCCGCAGGGCTGTGCCAGGCTACATGCTTTACCCCAAGGCATCGGTTTAAACCAATTGTGTGTCTGCACAAAGCACAGCTTGTTTGCAAAAGGAGAGAGTCAGTTGAGAATGGAATCAACTATTCTCTCCTTACCTTCTTGGGGCCAGGGGCAGGGTGAGGCCGGGGTGGGGGGAAGCTGCTAAGAGCATCAACATAGGATGTGAGTGCACAGCTGGGATGACAAAGCCCCAGTGATTTTTCAAGGCCTCTGGAAACGCACCAAGGCATGAAAGACAAGTATTCCCTTTGCTAAGGCTGCTTTTCCAGGGGCCTGAACACCTCTGGGCTGGACTCACTGCCCTGTGTAATTGGAAATGGCAGTGACTCACTAACCATCAGAGGTACGTGACGCCCGTCTTGGGAAAGCACTTTCAAACACATCCTTACACAAGAAGGATGGCTTTCTTCTTTGTTTTCTCATGGTGTCTGTCTCCCAAGACTGGTTTCCTGGAGGCTCCAGCAGAGGCTGTAGTGCAGAGGAAGGAAGGTCCCTCCAATGCACACTCCAGAGGAAGTGACAACAAAGAGTGAAAACAAATCCATCTTACCTTCCTGGTTACAGCTGGATCCAGATAGCCTTTGAGCTTTTGAATGTATGTATGGGGAGGATTCTTCACCTGGAATCGTTCCTGCAGGAAGCACAAAAGTAAAAAGCATGAAAGCTATGAAGGCATGAGCGTTGGCCACACCAGACCCAGGGCTGACATGCTTCCACAGTAGGTGTGGCCCTGCAGATCATCTTTATGTATCTGCAGGGCTTGTGAATGGTTTTGAATCTTTATAGTGAAGGTTATTATCCTTGCTTTGCAGAGGAGAAAAGCGAAGCTCCGAGAAATTCACTACTTCCCTAAGACACAGCTAGTCAGTGGTACAAATGGATCTGAACCTGCATCTGCCCTACTCTGTGGTCTGTCCCACCGTGTCTGTGGGGCTCCGCGGCCCTCACTCCAGAACAATGCTCTGCCCAACCCGCATCCGCGGCCCCCTTCAGTAGGTCTTCAGTCCACTGCATACTCTGGGTTGTCTTCAATGTGGGCAAATCCTTTTCTTTTGAATATTATTCTTCGAAAATACCGAAACCTTGACTCAAACTGGAAAAAAACCATTTGTTTCAAAATTGAGTAATGAGTCTAGGCGTGTGCCTATCTGTATGAGTACAAATGAACGTATGTGATCATTAATGGGTTCCTGAGGCTGTTCCAAATTAGAAGACCCAGAAATATTTTTAGCAAAGGCACAGTCACTGAAATAAGCATATAAAGATAGAATATATATCCCAAGGTGGTATTTGAATATAAACCTGGGATGGGACCTGACAATCTGCATCACTAACGAGTCTTATGCTAAGGCTGTGCATGGAGGCACCACACTTTGAGAAACTCATGCCCATGTGTATCAGGTTTTATAGACTGTAATGTCCAAAGCAGCTTATAATAAGCAGTAGGAAAAAACTGGGTAAAACCCAAATGCCCGCAAACTATAAAATGGTTAAGTGCTCATATTATGTTCATACAATGGTATACTATATTCCAATGAAAATGAACAAACTGTACTGCATGCTTCTATATGGATGGATCTTATAAACCTGATGTTGAGCCAAACAGAATGTGATTTCATTTCTATGGATTCACAAGACAGGCAAAATTAAACTTTAATGGTAGGGACATATACATAAGCCATTTTATTTATTGACACATACCTATATATCTAGGGGGTGGGGGAAGAGAGGATTAGCATTAAAACAACAGAGGACTGAGGTGGGGGAAGGGAAATCCCCAGTGATCCCAAGAGGCTGCAAGGTTCTATTTCTTCATCCACAAGGTGGTTACACAGGCACTAGCTTTATCCTACTCACTATGCTCTTCTTAGGTTTCACAACTGTTTCTGGACCTATGCTACATTTCACACACATGTTCAAGTTTAAATGAATCCGCTCTAAAAGGAAAAAACTAAGATTTGTCATGAAATCAAAACCATTCTTATCAGGGTCTCTTCTATGCTTTTCTAGTAATTCTTTTTAACCTGATTATTGCTTATGCCACAAGGGAGTTTTTGAGCATTTCACAATATTGACAACTGGTCAGCATGTTTAAGCATGTGTTTATCCTCTACAAACTTGTATTTCTCCAACACAGGGAACCACAGCATCTCCCTGGTCCACTCAAGTCTTGCTTGCTTACAGATTTAGAAAGGCCAAAAGATCATCTCATTACTAACAAAAAGATTACCCTATTAGTGAAAACATATGCTTTGTTGTTTAAAATGCTTTAACATAGAAGGGACTTATAGTGAGACACCTGTCTATATTTCCCCCCCTTTAGTTAAAAATGATGAGGAATTTCATAGTTTATAAACTGAATCTCAACAGAGCGGTTAACAAAAAAGATCAGCCTATTATTTCTAATTTTTTAAAGATTTTATTTATTTACTTGAGAGGGGAGAGAGAGAGAGCATGAGCAGGGAAGAGGGAGAGGAAGAAGCAGGGTCCCCGCTGAGCAAGGAGCCCGACTCGTGGAGATCCCAGGACGTTGGGATCATGACCTGAGCCGAAGGCAGACGGTTGACTGACTGAGCCACCCACGCACCCCAGCATATTATTTCTAATTATTCCTCCAAATTTTGCAAGCAATTTCTAAATAACAATTCACAAATATTTGACATCTCTAATGCTATCAAATGGTCTATGTATAAAGCCCCCGCCCACTTTTATTTTAAATCACCATCACTTCAGGATCCAACTGCCACAGGACTTTAGCAATAGCCCAGCTGAAGACTAAAATAATCACAAAAAACTCCAAAAAAGGAACTGATAAGCTACCTAGAAGCCAGTTATTATTTCCAACCTTGCGTATGACAATAGCTATTAGAATATCAAGAAAACTTACGCTTTTTAAAAACACAATCCAATTTTCCATATTTAAAATTCCTATGACCAGGGACAACTCAAACTGTGCTCCCTTCCATTACAGCAAACACCTCCTACCTCATAAAGGTCCCTAATACATGAAACTCAATGAATTTTAACTTTGGCTAATATAGTAGTTACTTGAAGACCTAAATTTGAATCTGTGGACAGTTGCTGAAAAACATCTAATGATTGTTATTTTAGGCAATGTCTTCACAACAGAAGAGCTAATTTATTATAATAACGAAATCTAGGGGCGCCTGGGTGGTTCAGTTGGTTGAGCATCTAACTTGTTTTGGCTCAGGTCATGATCTCAGGGTCGTGAGATCGAGCCCCACGACAGGCTCCACTCTGGGTGCGAAGCCTGCTTAAGATTCTCTCTCACTCTCCCTCTGCCCACCCCCCCCTCACCACGTGCCCCACCTCAAAAAAATAAAACAATGAAATCTGGTTCCCTGGCACATATAACAGGCTGGAATTCACTCAGTGAATCCCATTTTTGACAGGCAACAAATGCACCTTTCTTCATTTCCTACTCAAGACTGTCGTGACCCAGGGAGCTTTTTCTCAAATACATACATTCATTGGTCCTGTAAGTTTTTCCTTTTAATTATTCCCCTGAAATTACGGACAAAGTTACAATTAATACATACTTTTTCAAACGTGCTTATCAAAATTTGCTGTTGTTTTAGTCACGTTTTTCACTTGTCTGAATAACTTACTAACGTATTTCCAAAAACAGAACATGAAGAAGCCTGAGGCTTCACAACACAGTAAGTCTACATTATATCTACTACTCAGAAAACTGAGCCTAGTCTAAGGCTTTAAATAAAACTGGTATGGAGAAAGAATACAAAAGTTCTAATCATTTCCCTAAAACTTGGGGTTGTTCATCTAATCTCAAAAGGAGCTACTGTTTATAAATTCAGTATCTGGCTCACCAAACCTTTTCTTTCTGTGTCTTCAATACGGCCATTTCGACAATAGAAACATTTGGGAGAACACACTGGAGAATGTCAGCACCTTGCCAAAATACATTCACTTTGAAGGACTTTGGAAGGATTACTGGCATCATATTTATTTAAATTAACAATTTCTTTTCCTCTATTAGAATTTTAGATTTTGCACTGAAACCTGTAAACGCCTTGGCTGGCAGTTTTCCATCATCCTCACTTCCAGATCTGCTGCATCTCACAGGCTATTTTCAATAACTAGTTAATGTGCTTGCTCAACATCATTGACGTGAGTAGCTTAATTAAATGAAGTCCTCAGCTTGAGTCCCACGATATAGAACTATTATTCTTAGGGATAAAAAATATTCTCTAATCATGGTGACTTGTCAATGTGAATTGATGTCATTTGGAAGAACTTTTGAAATACAAATTTCCTTCTAAACGTCTCATCATACAGCATCCCATCACCCTGCCCTCCTGCCATTTAGCTCTTTTTTAAAAAAAATTTTTTAAAGGTTTTATTTATTTTTGAGAGAGACAGACAGACAGATAGACGGGGAGGGAGGAGAGCAAACATGAGGGGTGGGTAGGGGCAGAGGGAGAAGCAGACTCCCCACCGAGCCAAGAGCCCGATTCGGAACTCGATCCCAGGACCCTGGGATCATGACCTGAACTGAAGGCAGACACTTAACTGACTGAGCCACCCAGGCGCCCCTGCCATTTATCTCTTTGTGTGATCACACTTTCCTCCTGAAATGTTTCTGGATGGGAAATGACAATCGCTCTGGGTGTTTAATCCTTCTCCATAAGCATTCAACGCAAAGAGCCCGAAGTCATTTCTTCACATTCAGGACACTAGGCCACAGACTGCACTGGATTAGGTGTGGGAGGGAACAAACCCAGGATCACAGACTCTCTTTCCCCCAAGGAAAGGTAGACAGCCACATGCAGCACCTCATTTGGAGGAGTCTGTAGTCTTGGAAGCTTGACCACCCTACACTCTCCTACACGTGGATCCTGAGAGCTGGTTTGGAGGCCATGGCAGGGGTGTGCAGCTACTACACACCCCTGACGGAAGAAAGGTACGCCTCTACCGGGGAAGGTCCTCCTTAGACCAAGAGTGCAACTTACGGGGCGCCTGGGTGGCTCAGTTGTTAAGCGTCTGCCTTCGGCTCAGGTCATGATCCCAAGGTCCTGGGATCGAGCCCCACATCAGGCTCCCTGCTCAGCGGGAAGCCTGCTTCTCCCTCTCCC